TATGACGTATTTGACTCTTTGCTGGTGCCTCTCTTTTACGTGCAAACACTAACTGAGGAGTTAAGTCCCCATTCTCCTTTTTAGCATAAAATATCATCTTTTTAAAGCCATCTAGCGTAATCCAATCGCACTTTTAGTACGCGAAATACAGATCGCTAAAGCAATCCATCTAGTATTGAATTACTCTTCACTAGACTTCAAGGTCTAGTCCAAAGGCGTCGCAAAACGTGTTACTATGCGAGGGTTATGGTGTTGGATTTCTGGCTAGACCAACATCCAAAATTAAAAAATGTTCTGTTGATTTCGTAAAATGTAATAACTTCTCGACAGAGAATGTATCCTTCTTCCTGTGACATGCAATAAAAATATCTTTATAAAAATCCATCAGTGGTTCGGAGGCGGCTTAGAAATGTAGCTGCCTCCGATTTGTTTTTGAAAAAAACATCATGATGCTTTTGGTTATAAAACAATTATTTGTCAGTGGTGCCAAAGAAACACTAAATACGAGGTCAGAAAAATCATTGCATTTGTTCTAAAATATATATAGATATATAAAGATTTTTATAGATTTTCCTACTACGCGTTCCATCCTCAAAACGTCTTAAGCGAGCCCAGTCTGTGATTCGGCGATTAAACCATTTCTTTTGTCGGTGGTTGATGCTCTGTGGTGTTGAGGGCCTTTATCATATTTAAAGTCTTCACAGTCATCTTGGAAACGCTCGCGAAGTTTAGTTTGAACTAGCTTCCGGGCTTCAGCTCACTTAAACCTCAAACCGAACTCTGATAATCCTAACCGCTTGTCAAACCAAGGCGTGAATATATCGAAACTGAGCAATCGACATTTCCTTGCACACACTACTTCGCTGTAATCTCTAAAAGTATAATTGTGACGGATGTTTATTAGTTTTTAACCAGATACCTTTTTCAATCTTACCGCAGCACAAGCAACCTTCTACTACTCCATAATGGCAAGAAGACATTAATCGCCTTAGTTGGTATGGCCCATAATGTTCCAATGATACATAATAGTGTTGTTCTCTGCACTCTATGTAATTTTGGGTGGTTACCGATAGGTTACTACTCCGTAGAGAAGTACATGCCTAACAACTATATATAATGTAGGTGATATTTCCTATTTTCGGATAACCATAGAGAACGATGGAAACTTTGCGCATCCGTTTCTGCATGTGTTTTGTAAGAATTTTATTGTCTCCAAATTATTTGCGGACTCTCGCAGCTTCGTTCCTACGCGCACTAGTTTTTTATGGAGTTTTATATCTTCTATTCAATTCTTCTTCGCGATGGAACTCCATTAAGAGCCGGTGTTTATCGATGCTATGGCAAATTCAATCGAAGTTAGAGATCAGTACAAGACGAATTTCGTCAAGGCCCATGTCGACTGGTAATGAAAATGTAAAAAAATACGATAGCGCTGCTTCGTAAAACGTCTACGACATCGTGACATGTGATGGATTGTGGATTTACGCTTATGAAAGTAAACAGCAGTCGACTGTATGGGTGTTTAGAGGTTAGCCGAATCAACATGACGCAATCGTACCACTAGAATGGGATAGGACAATAAATTGTGCTTTTTACACAATCATTTGTTTGCCAAAGATGTATCGCTCTTTACCACGACAATGACAGCTCTCATACATGAACTGAAACAACTGCATTTTTGAACACTCAAAATATGGATTTGACGAGCCATCCAACGCATAGTCTAGACTTGGCATCGAATGACTTCTTTTTATTCCCATACGGAGAGAAGGAAGTAAGAGATTAACGTTTTTCGGGAGACCAGTCGAGGTGCGGACTGACACGCATGCGCAGCATTCCACCGGGGCAAACTGTAAATCCGGTCTACTATCGCCGAGTACTTCAAAGATTGCGAAACCGAGTTAACAAGGTGCGCGCAGACATCGCTCGTAACGGGATGCTTCATCACGACAACGCGGCGTGTCACACCGCCCTCAGCGTGTCCCAGTATTTGGCCTCTAAAGGGATCCCCGTGTTGCAAAAACCTCTATATTCGGCCGATACGTCACCCTATAACTTTTGTGTTCCCTAGAACGAGAAACCCATTTTGAGTCGATTGAAGACATCCAGGCGGTATATCCCAGTCGAAACATTCCAGATATGTTACGAAGCATGGAAACCGCGCTGGAATCGTTGTATAGCTACCCAAGGGGACTACCTTGAAGGAACTGGCAGAGTTGTATAATAATTTTTAAATATACCGTTGTCACAGTTACAATTGTTTTTAATGGAGAAATTTTTGAAACACAGCAAAGTGAGTTTCGGTGATTAATTTTTGTTTCCGTGCTCTAATCCCGATATATAAGAGACAACCCTCGTTCTCGCAAAAACCTTAATTTTGCTTAAATTTTAATAATTTCGTATAGGTCTTTCTATGAAAATTCAGTTTACCCATTTTCTGAATACTCGTACACTCGTATACTCCTCTAGGATATAAATTTTTAACTTACAAAAAAAAAAAAAAAGATGTCTTACAAAAGCTCTAGCCAAGTTAAGCGCTTTTAACCGAGCAGCAGCGACAAAAGCAATACCTCATCCTGGTCATCCAAATGCTCTTCTACTACCATGAATAAAATCCTTTAATCCACTTCCATCTCAGCAAATCCCATTAAACTTTTTCAATCAATCAATAATGATGCAGCGGAGCTTTCATGGCATAATTCTTGCTGCAAAACTGATTAAATTTTCTAAATATTTTCCAACTGCAATTAAAAACTAAACCCACAAGTGCAGCGAGCTGTCGAACCGTAGCGAAAGCAAGAGCAAAAGCAAAGTTAAATAAAATGTAAAAACAACAAAGGGAGGGGGAAAAACAGAAAAACAGAAAAACAAAAAACAAAAGCTTGTGTGGATTATGTGCACTTATAAGTTATTAAATAAGTATGAAATGTGTGGAGCGCTGCCAAAATGCCTGATGCTATAAGCAACTGCACTTCCTTCCATCTACTGCTAACCTCCTTCTCTAATAGTACTTGACTCCTGCATCCTTTTCGCTGTCCACATTCAAACCGTTAACGGGGTTACGACACTTCAAAGGAGCTCAGTTGAGTGCGTTGGGCGGGGGATTAGTTTCTTTTTTAATTTATCGGTGCAATAAGTGAGCAAACGCCTCAGCCAAATGGTTAGCAATATACGTAACTAAGAGTGTATAAATATACATACATATACGTGTACATATGTATGTATGTGTACATGAAACTTTGAGAAGAGGAAAAGTTTAATTCAAGCACACTTGCTTTAGTGGTTATGTGCACGTGCATACTTGTAATTGTTAGTATATATATATATATATATATGCATGTACGTATGTACACATACTTGTCTGTATGTATGCCTGCGTATTTACTTACTCGTATAAGTAGTTTTACTTATGTATGTATGTGCCAAATATCCATTGCAGCTGCTTTGCTAAGATGTCGTCACCACAAATCCATGCCGGAAACTATGGTAGACAACTTACAGAAGTCACTCAACTGGCTATGTACATACATACATTCTACAGTCTACAGCGCTGTAAACACTTTCGGTAAACTTTAGTGTCAGTCAGTGGGTAAGCACTTGTAAAACAGTTCAGAAGAGCCACAGGGCATAGAGAAATGCTTTTGAAGCAGGAGATTTATAATCAGACATATAAAGTTAAGTCAGTAACTTTGTATGGCACCAAAGGTGCATTGAAGAACCTTCCCACTTTTTTTTGATGCGGCCGCAGTAGCCGAGGGATTAGCATTGCGTACTGCCATTCGGAAAGCTCGGCTGTTTATAAATATATATCTATCAAATAATATATAATATACTATATAATAGGCACTTTTGATCGCTGGAGCGATTTTCTACCGAGATTTTCCTTAGTGCTTTGTAACCGGTCGGCGTCTAATATTTGATCGAAATACGAGTTATTGCCCAGTAGAATTCAAAACTGAGCAACACTGAAACGGTTTCACACCACATTTACTCTAGTGGATAATGCGCATCCTCAGAGACGCCGTACAATGCGGGCTTAAAAAATTCGGTAAATAAGCCTAAAACGGAAGAAGCTATCGATCCTGGCTTTCAGAAATATTTTTTTTGCAGCTTGAAGTGATTTTTTTTAAGTGATTTTTGGAGTTTCTGAATATTTTCGGTATTTTACTTTAGTTAATATAGAAGGGACGCTCATAAAAAATGAGAAAAAAAAAGAATTTCTTTCGACTGTTTCAGATGCATTGCACGACCTCCATCAGCGGCACCGTTTCGCGAGCTCAGACTTCAGAAAATTCCAATATTTTTCTATACCAATTGTAAAAATTTTCGTCTGGAATTTATTCGAGCAAAAAAAAAACCCTTGGAACGGCTGATGGATTTTTATGAGAAGCTTTGATTCTCGTGCCCCACTTAGAGTGGCTTAAAGTTTAATTAATCTGATGAATTTTCCTCCGATTAGAGCAATTTTTATTACATTCGTTAAAATTTGAGTTTTCCTAAATAAAATTCAAGCTTTAAAAGAATCGAAAACGATCAAAATGGGATAAGAAAAAATCACGAGATATGTATGTACTCCCTAAAGAGAGGGAGCATGTCAAAGCAATAGCGGTATATATTGCTGGATGGTCTATCGAAGGTAGCCGACGTCAAAATCATGGATCCAATTGCTGTATAAAGATATGTTATGGTCAAGTTTTTGTGGGATCACAATAGATCTAAGTCAGACTTAAGTTAATCCGATAGATCGGTGGCCACTACAACCTAACTTAATTAAAAAATATTGCTTTGCATAAAATTTTAAGTGAAAGCAAAAAGTTATTGTGACAATAACAACTTCCTTCTAAGGTGATATTTTACAGACATAATTGTCCGACTGCAGTGTCGTGTCGTGGCCTAAATATTCATAGCTTAAATACAAATACTGAAGGAAAGATTTATGACATAAAAACCCTTAAAATCTTTACGACAACATACTAATTTTTGTGTTTATATAATTACAGGGAGTTTGAAATCAAAGCAAAAAAATATTTAACAACATTATTCGAATCCTTTGGCTAACACCTTGGCACATGCAACCATTAAGGCCGCCTGCGGAGAACAGACAAAGCAGCCTTCTAAAGAGCCAACACTCCATTGCTACCGATGGGCTTTGTGTTTTAATTTAGTTTAAGAATTTCTTACTTATTGTAAGGCTTCCGAAGTCGAAGCAGATTCAATAAATAATTTTTAATGTTTAAGTTAAAAAAAAAAAATTAAAATAATAATAATTAAATACATATATCGTTCCGAATAAGAATCAAGTGAATTACTCGTACTTAGTGACAGTAAAAATAGAAGCACCGTAACTTGTTAATGATGCTATAAAAATAAACGCTGAAAGTCAATTTATTTTTGTACTGGCAGATGTCGTCCCAAAACACTTTATACATATATCATTCAATTCTTTGCTATACATACATACATATATCATATAGCATACATCGTCACAGCTAACCGAGATTGCTCTGATTACTCACACACATACTCTCACTGCGTAGTAGTAGTAGTAGTAGTAGTAGCAGTAAATGACGCAGACGAGTGAATAAGTGTGAACGAATCATCAAAGGATCGTATCAATTTCACCCTGCACGCATACATAGGCACACCCACACATGTCTAAGCAGACATAATGCTATAAATATGCTCTTTAGCGGTAAAAATAGTTCATGCCCATAAATTTCATCATATGTAAATATGTATATATGCATAATTCATGCAACTCATGCCTAGCAGGTGTTCTAATTTACACTGGCATTGATGTTTGACCTTCCCTTGGGATGCTTACATATTCGATTTGGTATAGTGATGGCGCCAAATTGTTTTATTTTTATTTTATTGTTGCACATACATATGTATGTAAAAATAAATATGTGATTAAAATACAATATAATGTGAGTAATTAATTAGCCTAAGAAATTTCGAAATACATCACAAGTGAGGCATTGTTTTTGGGTTGTTTTTGTATAAATGTATGTTTGGCCTACTATTTTTTAAAAAATAAATGAAAAATAAAAGTCTTAAAAAGTCATTTCTTTTATTTACTTGCCACATATAATTGTTTAACATTTGACACAAAATAACAAAATCATTAGTAGAAATAAGGTCCAGCGCAGTCGTATTTTCAGGCACTTCAATGTGAGCTGCACTTCTTCTTCGAAAGCTTAGTAGATCGGGCCCAGAAAGGTCGAAAAATTAAGAACTTTTTTTATTACCATTTCACTCTGCTTCATTAAAATAATAAATATTTGTCAATCACACTCTAAGAGAAGATCAGGCAAGGAAGTTTTGTTTCAGAAATTTCAATAGGCATCCATTTATCCATTATTTTTGCATTAAATTGTAGACTTTATTTACCATAGTTAGAATTATCGAATATACTTCAAATATGCTCTCTTCTGCTCGATAACATTTTGTCATTTTGAGTGGAATGTCATTATGTTTCCCCACCCAAGCTCTAACCAAGACCTTCTGGCGAGTCACCATGTGTGGTGATGTGTTTGGTCTTACGTTGTTTTTATGAAACACGCTAGCTCTTCTCTTGGCCAAAGCTAGGTACTTCTGAGCGATTGCTTCGAGTAGAAGACGGTCTAATGCTGACAGCACAGGTCCGAATCAAGAGTTTGGCCGTAGGGAGCAGTTCATAATGGATGATTCCTTGCTAATGCCATCAAACACATGGCCAAAACTTTCTGGCCATAAATTGTGGCTTGGGGACCATTAGTTCCGCCTCAAGGCCCTACGACCACGATCGTTTTCATTTGACATTGATATAAATCAGATGTGGGTTGATTTCGTTACGATTCAGCAGCCATTCGCAGATGGCATATCGGCTCATAGGGTTTTTATCGTTAACTCATGTGACACACATATTACGAGCCTCTTTGTGTATGCAGCCTTTTTCAAGTAATTTCAAACCTCTTTTTTGCTGTTTTCTTTTCTTTTTTTTGTTCCCGAGAAGGTCAAAATCGACGATTTTAAATAATTTATCGACACTTTCGCCAGGCTTTCCATATCGTCGAACATCTTTTATATCAAAATTACCAGAAAAAATTCTGCGAAACTAAAATTATGCCTGATTGACTGCTACGCCTGACTCGCGTTTTCGCCTTAAGCGAAGAGCAATTGTAGAAGTTAGTGTAGTTTTGCTCTCTAACATCTCTCATCTCTGGCATGCTCTCAAACACTATTGAGTTAAGTGATCAACACTTTCTTCGTAATTTTTTAGTATTATCTTTCTAACGCCATCTAAGGTAAAGCGGTCGAATTTTACTTTGTTTGAAAAATTGCCGTTTTCTTTTTCTCAAATGTTAATAGCCATATGTACGTGTATAAATAAGCTATGAAAACTATTTTTTGAAAAGAAGCAAAAGATTTTTTTACTGCGTAACTTCAATGTGGAGAAATTACAGTTGAAACTTAAAGCTGGTCCAAAATAAGCTTGCAGAATGGCTTAAAGCAGAGGCAATATTAAATGAAGTGAAGCATTGTACTCCAATAGATTTATCGGTATTACCATATATCTTTACAAGAAACAGAACACAGAAGAAGCAAGCGGGCAATGTGACAATATCTAACGAAAGGAACGTGTGCTTCTTGATCAAAGCAGCAGATGCAGCTGCGCGAACGTCTGGACAGACTGGTCTTTTATTCGTACTAAAAATTTGTATGAATTTGCCCCCCCTAATCAAATATTCGCTCTGATTTTAGAAAATAAATTGAAGTTGAATATTGCGCCAGAAGGGAGCAATCTAAGCCCAAGCACAATTATTCCTATCCGTCTTATGGTAAGGTTTTAGATCACAAAAGACCCCGCTGGCCAGATAGGTGAGACGAAAGAAGATGTTCTACTAAAAATTCTTCTATCTCACACATCTGCTAGGCTTATTTTCCTACAAGAAAAAGTCATTGCGCAAATTATGCAAGAGCAGGATATTGATTTATTAATAGCGAATTTGATTTTTGAAAACGGTTTTTATGCTATAACCTGAAGATCGTCCTGCAGTCAAAATCATACCGGTGCTGCAGTCACTCCATTAAAGTTAGTCGACGGAGCACAGAAAATATTAAGAAACAAAAGTATACCGCAATCGATTAGCTTTCGTAATCATTTAAAGCTGGCTTTCATGAAGGAGTCTAAGAACAGCATCATAAAGAAGAATAATTACATCAGGCAGCAGATTTCGAATAAAGAAACCTATAAAATTGTGTACATTTCAAGTTCTAATCATATTTGAAAGACAACAATTTTAAATGCTAAACATTTGTACCTGCTATGAGTAATCTCAAATATGGACTAAGTTCAATACACACCTCGAATTCGCATTGCACGTGCTATTTGATATTGATCTGAAAATCTTGAGAACGTGAAATGAAAACGATAAAAAGAGATGTTCTCGAAAGGAAGAAAGAAAATAAGATTGGGTTGCCCCAAAAGATACCGGAAATTCCTCATATAGACGGCGTTGATAACTTTTTGGAACTCTATGTGACTCTTTAATTGTATTTTTTCTTTTACAGTTTGTTTGGCATCAATTCTAATATGGAGCTCATAAAAGAACATATTCGCAATTCCTTAAACGAAAAAATGCAGCGTAGTTTGCTAAAAAGTTGCATGATTTGTATGGTGGTAAGGCCTCAAAGAATTACAGTGTAGAAGTTAGTTTATCATTTTAAGCCACGTTCCACGTTTCCGGCGGAAAAGTGAAGTTGATGATGACGACATCAAGGCTTTATTAATCGAATCGGATCGTCATGTAACTGAGCTTGAGATTGGAGAGAAATTGAGTATACCAAAATCAAGCGTTCATGATCATATATGTATGTACGACGCCTTGGACGTGAAAAGAACTTGATATTTGGGAACCACATGAATTGAAAAAAAAATGAATTCAAAAAGCCGCTTCAACGTTTGTACATTTTAAATGCAATCAATATGGGCCGTTTTTGAAGTAAATTATAACTGGAGTTGAAAAATGGATTGTTTACAACAACGTTAGTCGAAAACGATCATGGTCCAAGCATGATGAAGCACCACAAACCACTTCAAAGGCTGATAATCACCAAAAGAAGATTATGCTGTTAGTTTGGTGGGATTGGAAAGGTGTGGTATCCTTGAAGCTACTTCCAAGGAACCAAACGATTAATTCGGATATCTACTGTGAACAACTGGACAAATTAAATACAACCATCAACGAGATGTGGCCAGAATTGCTCAATCGTAAAGGTGTCCCTATTCCACCAGGCCAATTGTTGACCATTTACATCTTTGATCAGAGAGAGGAGAGAGAGAGAGCTTGGCTGGCAAGTGTTGATTTAACCTCCATATACAATAGTACTGACCTTGCACCATCCGACTACCATTTGTTTCGATCTTTTGATGGTAGAACCTTCGTAAAAGGCGAGGCTATAGAATCGCATTTGGTTCAGTTTTTTGCAGAGTAAGGCCAGAAGTTCTATGAGCGTGGAATAATGATGTTGCCGGAAAGATGGCGGATGGGTGATTAAAGTTTATTATAAAATTTAAAAAAATTGTTCTTACTTTCTTGTTAAAAATCACCGGATTCTTTTGGGGCAACCCAATCTTTATTTAATATATACTATACTATATACTCCTATGTTAGGATATGAGGGCATGAATAAGCTTTAATTTTCTAGTGAGAAATATTTATTTTCTAATGCGTTTTTTTTTTATCTATAAAAATCGAGTTTTAGAAAAAATATTATTTTATTTCGCCTTTTTTTGCGCACTTATCTGGGTCGCTAAGAGAATTCTGGCAACGTTGCTTCTATATAACTGTGCCCACTAGCGCGACGGTGATTTACTGATGCTCGCATAGTCGCACCCGAAGTGTTAGTGCTTTAGAAGGGTTATGCTGCAACTACTCAACGCGTGTACCAGCCGTCCATAGTAACCTACCTTATGAGATGTAAACACAAAGTTGTAACCGCTTGCCTATGCCGTTAGTGACGATTGTCCCG